CATAAAACTTTAAGGTTCTGAGTTAATAGAAAATATGTCTAAGCTTTCATATTTTGTAGTATCTTTTTTCCTCAAGGGTTACTCAGCCTAACATGAAACTCTCAGATCATCAAATTTTTTATTCGATCCAGCATTAGTTTTAATTACGATTGCTTTTTAAAAGTGCGCTTTAAAAAAAATTCTTAATTTTATAAATTAAGGAAAAATGTGTGCACGACTTTTTTCTTTTTTTATATATTTCAATACTGTTAATATTTAGCTGCAAAGATTTATTTTTCCGCATAAAAATATTTTTAATCACCTGAAATTCATCTATATGAAACAAAAAGCATGCTTTAGACCTTAAACGGAGATTAATTTGAAGTTAGTGGCCAGTTTAAAGTTGACACTAAAGTGAGAATAAGTATTGCATAGGGGACTGGACTGCTTTTATTATACAACCTGTTTCAGCTTCTGTAAGCTTATATGCGCTTAGACTATTTCTACAGAAACCCATATTGCAAAGCTGTCAATATTAGAGGAGCTTGGCACTGCAGATTGACTGCCCTCCATTCTGTTAGGAGTGATAGTCTGATTTGGTTCAGCCTGTAGGGTCTCTTGTCACAGGGTGAAAAAGGAAGGTGGAATAAAATACTCTTACAATTAGATAGTTCACTGAGGTTTTCCAAGACTTTCTTATTCATCCTCTCCTGGAAGACATATTATAGTCATATCCTATCAGGTTCCTCCTCTGCCTCCAAATTGCCTTTATAGAATAGGGAGACTAATGGATTCTGCTGCTTGTGTTGCAAGCCTATGCTCAAGTTAGTCCTGCAAGCACTTCGGAAGAAGCAAGCATCATAGTTTGGATGAGCAGACCTTAAAAAACATTCCAACAAAACAAAGCTTCGCTCTCTTCACTTTTTTGCCACTTTGTTTTGCCATAAAACTTCTGGCTGGTTGAGAGACTCAGTTCCAGTATGAGTTTGATAAATTTGAACACGCACAACACAGCGATGGTAATCGTCTGGCACGGGTTAGTCACCCGTAATAAAGCCGTGAGAAATAAAGAAATGCAGGCAAATAAAACTACAGTGATCTACTGAACAGAAGGGCTTGGAACACAAAAGGGGAAAAGAATTGCTGTTGTAATGACAATACTTTTAATTATATATATTCAATGAAAAATAAACTATTAGAGAGAGAGTAAAATACTTCCAATTAATGGAAGTAATGTAATGTTCAAACTTAAATGAAGTATTTTTCTCTTGAGGGTTTTGTTGTACTATTTTATTTAGCTTAATGTAATTTAAATTATAAACAGAATGGTTTTGCAAGCCCCTAGAGAAATGTACTTTATTTATAATGTATTTCCTTTGAAGTGGTTATGGAAATCATGCTCTTCCTGAAGTCTGTATCTCACATACCACCTACAGCTGCAAACTAGTCAGTCCTCACAAGTTAAACATGATCTGTCTGGTGAAGTGCGTGACAAGAAAACACAAGATTTTTTAAAATGCCAGAGGAAATAGAAATTTGTTGTTCTGCAAACTAATGGTCTTTCCTCTGAAAGAAGTTATTGAAAGATCTTTGTTGATAAAAGTCATGTTTTTTCAGAGGGAATGGAACTCAGTCACTTCACTCAACTCACTTCACTTGAGTTTTTAATGCACATAATGAAAGAATAATTGTTCACACTATACCCTAGAGGGAGTTTCAGCTGGGAGTAATTATATTTTGTGTACTCAAATTTAAATGCATAAATATTTCCATCTTTCATTTAAATAATAAATTCTTAAAAATTTAATTCTAGTATAAAAAGTGCACTTTCTTTCATGATGCAAATTACAAATGCCTAGTTTGTGTCACTTTTCTCCTCCAAGCAGTCAAAATTGCCACAACTGCAAATGAATAAACGGAATGCTCTCCTCACCTTCAATAGCCACTGCATAGAGTTGGTTAAATAACTAGATACGAAGAGGAAACTGCCTCTAGAAAATGAATTTTGGCCATTAATCATCTTTTTAAAGCATAACAGTACCTAATCCTCCTGGATGAACCATGAGCTCAACACTCCAGCCACAGACACACAATAGTCTAAGCTGTGATGCTTCTCCTGAGATAACGTCACTGCAAGTCACTTCAAAGGGACCAGGCAAGTGAGCAGCGTAAGATCTGGCTGACTGTGCAACTGCTTACAGCATGAACTCATGACAGCCGTAGTCACACATTACAAGTGCTTTGAATTGTTTCTTTCTTTTATCAAAGCTACTCTTCTGCTCTAACCTAATACCACAGACTATAAGTAAATAAATAGATAAATAAATTAAAATACTAGTTCTCGCTAGCTTTAGATTAAGAGTTTGAATCTGTTTTCAAGGGATAATATTTCTGTGTGACGATAAAACAAAGATCATGCTCTGGAGTTAAATTTCTGATGGAGTTGGTAGATTTTATCAATATCAGAAAGTTTCAGGTAGATATTTAAATCCATGAAAATACTTATAATCAAATTTATGACTATATGAAACAAATATTAATTAATTCTAACACATTGGGTTTGTTTTTAAATAATCTTATGAATATACTACAGAGACAAGCTGTACCATCACCTTTACAAACATCTATACTTTGCTAAAAGCTACTAAAGCACAAACATTACTTGCATTAAATGAAAAAAGTATGTCATAGTGACCATTATCCTTGTATTTGAGGCAAGACTTTAAGACTCTGACAACCCAGTCTATCTAATGTACCTTTGCTAAGAAAGACAATGCTGTTTTTCTTGATTAATGTAACATGTCAGATGAACTGACAAATTCTGTTTAACGCACTGCACATTTGTGGGTAATAAAGAACATTATTCTATTATTTCTTTTATAGCTATAATCCCTTCAGAGGTAGCATGACAGTGTGGTGTAAATCTAAAGGAAACCATTATATTTGTTTGCATGAATGGCTTGGATGACATTAATTTATTATTAGGAAAAAAATCCAAACAACAGATATTAATCTATGGCTTTTCTGAAAATGGATTATATAAGTTGGTGCTTTAACTCTTTATTTTTTGCTCACAGTTTCCTCACTGTTACATCAATGTCCAAGTGACAAATAATAAGTGTTTATACAGGAAGAGAGATGTGGACTGTAACAAAATTTGTAGAAGTTAATTATATGAATTGAGGTATTTTCTTTGTTACTTTCCTTTCAGACTAAAACTGAATACAGCTCAATTCCAGCTCCTTTGAGCTACTCTGATATTTTCTGCAGTAGAATAGCTGTGCCGCTAATATCTACCAAGGCATTCTTCTTAGACGTGATACCCTCTCCAGCATAATATATGTCTTTTGGGACTGCTTTCCTCCCCATCAGTTACAATTGGGAAAGATTTTGGATAATTACAATAGAGAATATGAATCTGTTCTCCAATCTGGAGATAGCAACCCACTTATGAATTATGACAATTTAAATTTAATTATGTGTGTTTAGTATTTTATTCATAGAAATGCTGCCATCTAAAGAAAAAAAAAAATGGCCCAAATCCACAACCTTTCACCTTACACAAAATACTTGAAAAAACATCTAAAGTTGGAATATGGTCAGCACAACATGAAAGGCAAAATCAAATGTAACTGAATACGGCCAACAGAGTAACAGTGTGCAAATATACCATGTTATAATTTTGAGATACAAAACCAGAAGTAAGCATTGTTTCAGGATTCATCTGAGCCACTTGTTAAATTGAAGCCATATGATTCAGCCAGTATGCTCTTAAAAGGCTTTCCTGATATGACTTGGTTAGAAGCTTTCTCCAGACACAACTGAGTGACTGAAATCTCAAGAAACTCCAGAAACAATCACAGTAAACTGTCAGTGTTAAGGTCCCTAAAACAAGTATACGAGGAGAGCTGTTTTCCATGTAAAAAGAGTGTGCCAGCATGTGTAAATACAGGCCGTCTAAACTACTGCTACAAATCCGAATTTACAGTTCATTTCCACAAAATCAGAAATGCAAACCAAGGTGGAACTTTGAATGTTTAAGGAATGTAAAAGAAATACGATCTATCATATAGACACAAATGCTGCAGCTTACCAATTCATGTAAATTATTTTAAATGCCACTGCAATTGAGACATAAAACAGCATAGCATACAAGGCAGAAAGCAGTCAAGAAATAATGAATGCTGGCAATTTAATTAGAACAATTTAGTTCTTTGCCTAGGTCTTCTAGCTCAAAGGGAGGAGACTTGTTGAAAATAAATGCAGGTAGAATATCAAAACAAAAAGGAAAACCACACTTTTCGAGAAACTGAATTTTAATTGTTGGATTCCCACCTCTTCTATAGCAAGACTGAATTATTCTGCAGGGAAATCCTGAAGGTGAAATATTGGCTACATTTTTTATTTTGTCTGAAACTCATGGAAAACTTGAAGGTTTGTGCAGAAGCTCAATATAATCAACAGAAATAACCTAAAGGCATCGTTCTCCTGACTACCAGTACCATGGTACTCCTCTACTCTTCTTAAGACAAACAGAGATTCATGCATGTAAACATGTTCAGCCTAGCTCTTATCTCGCTAGCTCTTATTCTGCTACCTGTGTGGCTGTAATAACAAGAAACTCAAGCTTTAACAGCTGCTTAGGAATTTATCCATTTCTCTCCTGGGTTTTGTGCCTAAGTTGAAATTTTCACCACTGCAGCTGCTGCTAAAGTTAGCTCAGATATGACTACAGGAATGATAGGGATCACAGTGTTGCCAGCACCCACAACTACTTAAAAAAGATGCAGCGAGAAAACCAAACACATTGTGACATATGACAGTCTACTTTTGAGCACCTATTGACAAAAAAACACATCACAAGTTGCAGGGACTTAATAAGTTATACTATAGTTTATGAATTCCAAAAGACCCTGACTCCACAAAGTGAGCACTGTTGCCAATAAACAGCTGTTTCCCAACATCAACATCTTGAATACTCTCAAAGATATAGTGTAAAGGGTTTTTTGAATTTTACCTACATGGTCCAGTGAGGATCATCAGAACGGCTAGTTGGATCAGACACTGTGTAAGTCTGTGAACTCCTCTTTTGGAAACAAAACTGATACTGCGTCAGCATATAGGCTGTGAACAAAACAAAAGACAGAACAATTATTAAAATAGATTACAGAAAAATGGGGGAGGCATAGACACATGAGCCAAAAGGCCTCCTTTGGAGCAAGAGATGACAAATGCTATTAATATTTTCTATTGCTGAATAATTTTTTTTTGTTTTTCTTTTTTTTAAATATGAGAGACCTAGACCTAGTTGAAAATAGAACAACTCCAGCATGCATTTATGACACAGAGATTTGAAGCAGTGGTAATAAGATGGTACTGATAAGCCTTTGGGATGCTTACACTTACCTCCAAAGAGCTATCTTCGGTCACAGTATTTTAAGATGATTTTTTCAAACCCAGTAACCAAACTGGAGTGAAGAGAACAGTTTCTCCAAGACAGCGTGAATAATCATAGAATCAACAAATACCAGCTTGGACCTTTCTTGGCAAAAATATAGTCTTGACAAGATGGCCCAGCGAATTGTCCAGCTAAATCTTAAAAGTTTCCAATGTTGGGTGATCCACCACTTTCCTGGGTAGATTATTACTATAAGTCTCCAGCTGAGTCAGCAAAGCAAATTTTCTGGCTAGTGTCAGAAATTGGCACCTCTAGGCACAGAGGGAGATGGGATGCTGAGCTCATTCAGATCAAGGGACAGCTTGACACAAGGGCAGAATTAAGAACTGGGGTCTCTTTTTCTTCCCCAAATTATTCAGTCTTTCAAGCTAACCGATTTATAAAATTGGTTTGAAATACTGTATTTCATGTAAAAATGTAGAGAGCTAGAAAAATAAAACTCCTAGTATACCCCACACATTATATTTTCAGCTGTATTAAATACACTGATGCTTTTAAAAGTTGTCAGAGGAAGCAAAATATTAATAATTAAAATGTAAACAACACACTTTCCTCTGCAGAAGTTGTAAATTTCTGAAGTCAGAAGTGTGAGAGAAGGATTAACTACTGACCTCTATGAGCAGATCATCTTTGGAAGAAATAGAGAGGACACAGAGCTTAGCACTCATTCAAGGAAACTTTTGCTGCCAGGGAAAAGCTTTAATGTGGTAAGGAATTTGCAGGATGCTGTGTATGTTCTCTTTACCTGTCTGCTGAGAGGGAACTCCCTTGCTACAAGTGATAAAATTCTCACAGAGGTGTCTGGAGGCTCCCACCTGGGGGGCCAGGCAGGCCATAAAGCACATGTATCATTCAGATACATACTGCAACGTTCTTGACTGTTAAAATAAATTTTCTTTAAAACTTTAGCCACAACCCGGTGCCTGGGGTTACCTGCTTGCATATCAAGCCTTGCACCACCATATTTCATTTCATTATAAACCATATATGTATATCATATATATATAATTACTTACAATATTATATTCTATGTATACTAAATTAAAATTTATATTTATTCTATAAATACATAAAATATATAATTATATTTTATATAAATATAATTATATGGGCTATTATAATAATGGGCTATTATAATAATATATTTAATTAGTAGAACCATGTGCCATTATTATCTCACTTATTACATGTCATTGAAGCCTAAGGCTTCAAGACCCCTTTGCACAACACAGAAGAGTGAATTTGAATCAATATGTTCCACGTTTGCTCACTGTCTTAGCCTTTACCAGAATGCCAAGGGATTTTACTCCCAGGTGTTATAAAAAGGAGGCAACAGACCAGAGAAGACACTAGCTATGCTAGATGTTCAGTTTCTCAGGAGAAAAAGAAAACAAAGAAAAAACCAACAACAACAACACAACAACAACAGCAAGACTCAGATTATTAACATACAATGCTAAGACTATATTCCAGTTAATTTTCAGAATAGAAGAAAATACACATTTACTATCCATGTACATTGCGGCACACTAACACAGCATTTCTAACATAGTTCTGATATACTATCAACCACAAAGGTCTCTCCCTTCTCTGGTAAAACACTCTCCTGGAAGATAGCCATTCCCTCCACTATCCACGCACAGTCAGGAAGTGTAGTGCATTAGAGTGGAAGTGAATCTGAACATCCCAAAACAAATGAACAGGAGAGGCTAGATTTTAATCAATGAAAGGAAAGGAAGCAAATCAGATTAAATATGGTCAGAATATATATTTTTTGTCTTGTAAAAAATGCCAAGCAATTCTTAATTAGAAAGAACCTGGACGTGTCAGTGTGGCAAACCCTTCCCTAGGAACAGTCTTTGATACTCTCTCAGTCCAGACCCATGTGTCTCGGTTTGAGCCACCCTCCTCCCCCAACCCGGGGGGGTTGGAATTGGTTGGTCCCAGGTGAGTTTCCGAGGAGGGACCAAGCAGAGCTGTTTTTCGCCCCTGTGAAATTAGGATATTACAACAGCCAGAAGGAAGTTGTTGGCAGTGTGTGAGAGAGATTTGGAGCCATGAGGTGAGAGGAGGGAGGCCTGTGGGCCCCTTGTCGGGGGGCCAGGCCCTCTTCCCCCCAGCCGGGCTGCGGGGGAGCTCAGGACAGTATTATAACTGGACTGAGTGCCTGTGGCCAGAAGGCTGGGGGGCTTTTTCCCCCCCACTACCCAGGAGAAGCAGTGGCATGGACTTTAGAAGCCAGCCAGGGAGTTGGAGCTAGCTAGCCCCGGCAGGCAGGCAAGGCATTGGAGCCCAACCAGAGATGGACCGAGGGGTGATTCGGAGCCTGGAGAAGCAGCTGCAATCGTGCAGAGCTGGAAGAACTCCAGGCAGAGGAGAGAGACTGAAGCAGTCTCGCTGCTACCCTCTCCCCCCCATAATGGCAGGGGAGAGGGAGCAACCTTGAGCTGAGACTGAAGCAAAATGGGAGACAGGCTGAGAGGTTTGGAGGAGGCCCTACGTGAGATTTGGGCGAGGGCAGCAGAAAACCAAAAGAAGAATGCAGGGGGAGGAATGCCTCCCCGTGACAAGTGGAAGATGAGAAGCTGCAGCAGCTGTAACAGAGAGAAGTCAAACCAAGCAGTCTTTTTCTGGGTAAGGACTTTCGGTGAAAACTATTTGGGGTAAAAAGACTAAGCAAGACCCAGAAACCCTGCAACCTGGAGAGGAAAGAGTGACCATCTTGCTCTCTGGGAGGAACCTTCATGAACCAGGGAGAAAGAATTCAAAAGCTGACTCCCTGGACTTTCGTGATGAAGACCTGGTAAAGCAAGTGTTCCCCTGTAGCCCAAGAGGAGACCTCAGCAGAAGCTGAGGGACTGGTGGGGGTTCAAAGGCCCCTTCCCTGATACCCCAATGAGAGAAAGACTTTAACTATCGCCCTGAAAACTTCTCCTGAACTGATGTGGGAGAGTCGAGGGGTGGTAAATATTCTATCAATACTCTGCATTTATTTGCTTTTTAGTTTCTATAGTATTTATCGTGTTAGTAATAAATTTTGATATAATGCCCTTGTACTGAGTTGTGCCTGTCTGAAAACTTCTCTTCCATGTTGTGGCAAATTGTGGGGGAGCTTGGAGATTGGATTTTTGGGGTCAAACCCCCACACTATGTTCAGATCCAAATGCACTTCCTGAAACATTTCTTTTCCTAGGCATTTCTTGGCCTAGCCATTACACCACTATTCTAAAACTCTGTTCCTGCCACTGCTCCTAGATAGGCGATGCACAGGGAGCTCAGCACAAGGAAACGTGTCTGCCCTGAGGGTCACAGTGCAAAGAAAGCAAAACTCTCAGAAATAGGCAACGAGCAGCCAGGGAGCTCATGTGTACTATTTAACTGCCTCCAACCTGGAAAGTCTTTGCACTCTGAAAAGTGACACAGAAACTCTGTAAGGACATAGTGGAGCCTTTGGTGGGAGAGCTCAACCTTTAGGCTCAGGAAGGATGGTTCCAGACTTCTCAGAAGAACAGCTCTGATTTTAGTACCTCACTCCAGTGATGCAGCACTGAATCTACACCCTAGCAACTCAGTCATGTAGTAAAACTACAATTTGAACAGCATGTAGCAATTTTTGTTTAATTGAGGTCCCTAAAGGTCCTTAGTGGAGTGCTTACATACTGTCAACAACATGAAACAACAATGAGAAGTACACTTAAAAACACTTAAACGCTTTAAAAATTAATTGCTCCATTATTTTTTATACAGAAGGTACAAATGTTGAAAAGCATTTCTCATTTACACTATCAGGGCAGAAAAATAATTTTAAAAAGTCTGCTTCTTTATCAAAGTCAGCTAAGTCACTTGTAAACTTTTAAGAACGCAAAACAATTGAAAAGAGAAGCCTCTTTTTAGTTAGTTGAGCCTCTTTTTAGTTGAGAAATTGCAGTTTCTGACAACTAAAAACAAATTTTAATAATTTCCTTCTCATCAAGTTATTATGTTTTTATTTAGTAATAAACTAATTAATGATTAAATTATCTTTTCAAGCTATTATCAATAAAAAAATTTCTTCCCAGTAATTTTCTACCATATTTTAATTTTATGCTATTAATATCGATAATCCAGTTTTAGTCCCTTAACAATGCAGGTTCTGACTCAGAGTTTTGGAACTCATTGCCTTAATTTATGACAAACTAAGTTGCTTCATATAAGCTTGTGCTGTTTGTATATTCAGCTACAAAGCTAACAAACTCTACTCTTTAGGAGCAGTAATCAAAACCAGTGGATAATTCAGCTTAGCAGTGCAGAACATCAAGCTCCATCTGAAGCAACCATGTCAACAAACCCCCCAAAACACCATCTCACTTATCAGCACGAATTCTGGACCTATTTAAGCAAACATCAGCCATCTCTGACCTCAATTACTACATCTGTGCTGGCAAATTTAATTTGAGGGGTGCTTCTAGGCACTGGCACTCGTTCTGTGTTACAAAACTGTGAGACTGGTCCTGGCAGGATTTTGGCTTGGGCGTGGTTTGGGGGGCAGCAAAACCAAGGAATTTGAGTTAGGCTCTGCACATATGAGCACACTATGAAGAGTAGGAAACTAAAATTTGTGGTACCACAAATACGTCTGTGATAAGACCTTAAAAGATGCTACTGTCCAGACAGGCAGGTGC